TATACTTTTCTTAAATGATTTGACGAGCTGATCGAAGTAAGGCTTTGAAATAGTAACCATTTATATCTTCGACATATGACTTTAAACATGCTATATTGTAGTTTTATAGATTTGTCAATAGATATTTTTTGCTAGGGGCCTAATGCATTGGCCACCACTTTTTAATATAGCCAGATATCGTTTAACAAAGTATGTTGTAAGTTGTAAGTTGTGCGGTAGTAAGAGATTCCTGTCGACACTGTCATGAGGTGAAGGAAACATAAGAACATATTCTATGCAACTGTCCAATGGCGGCAAGACGTGAAAGTGACTACATTGGAAGCGGGATATAAGTCCCAAATCAAATAGGTAAAATTAAAGCCACAGCAATTACGAGATTTATAAATAGTATAGAATTGTTTCAGTTGGGCACCATAGACCTTTTAGGTCGGGTTTTGATAGCTTAGTCGATTTTGATAGTTTAATTTTTAATCAATCATTAAATCAAGGAATTAATAATAGACCAACTGACTAATACCTATAACTTCTTTCAGTCACGTGTTTTTTTTTTTTTTTGTTTTTAAATTATATTGTTTTTAATAGAAGATGGAAGAGATTTCAGTCATCCTATTCTAAACTTTAAAAAAAATTGGGTAGTAATGTATGGTAGTTAAAAAATCTGTTGAATTATCATTGGAAGAAAGGTTAATTTGTTTCAAATTAAATCGGATTCAAGATTTTGCAGTTTATATTTACAATCAATTTAAATAAATTGTTCCGTTTCAACTCTGGATGTGTGGCGGAGTATGTGAAACGTTTCCCATTAATTGCAATTCTACCCGAGCATCTTTTTTATGAATTATTTTTTATTGAATTCTTTTTTAATATTTTTTTTTGTTTTGTTATTTTGGAGAATTAACTTTTTAAACAAAACCCAAAAAAAAAGATGTAAGAGCAGCTATATTTGAGCCTTCCTGGTGTTCAGCTTTGCACCGTGGCTCGGCGCATAATTGCCGATTTGCAAAATTTCACTTCAGCCTTTGGGGAGCAAATCACAGCAAAATTACATCAGCTGTCATGAAAACGCTACGAATTCTGCCGTTTAAAGTGCAAAATTCGTTTCCCTCGCAAATTATTTTGTACTTTTGTAAGCATTTTTCCCATTTATCCGCTTTTTTGCTGCTGCTTCCTCTTCTTTTTTGTTGATAATTTAGAATTTCAGTTATGGCCTGGTTGACTTCCTCCTCTAGTCAACGGTACATGTTGGCACCGGGTTATGCCTTGTATGAGCTGCGAATTCGTTTGCATTTTTGCAAACGTTTTGTAGATGAAATATGCAATTATATTGTAAGTTAAAGTCGAGATACTTTTTTGTGTTTTCTGTTTTGTATTTCCTTTATACAAATGTATCTCGCCTGTTGGTTTGAAGTGTTCAATTGCTGTGAACATAAAATTGGTGCAATTTTCTGAAACTGAAGTTTGAAGTGTTTCTGAATTTCCCCCTCTCTCGTAGAATGCCAAGTGGGAGTTAATTGTGAATGAGCCTGTGGGTGGCAGAAGTTGGAGAGTTTGATTACTTAACAATATTTGTTATGTGGGATATTAGAAATTTATTTGAACATTTCAATGCATTTCAATGCCTTTCAATGCACTCAGTTGCGTACTAAACATAAAAATTACTAAAATTGCAGTGTTGATGATGATTGCTTAGCATCGTTTTGAGGGCAATTATTGCTTGGCATGACTAACAGTAATGTAATACTTTTTCTTAACTTGTCAGAGTTGAATCTAAAACTATAATTTCAAAATTACTTGCAGTTAAGGAAAAAACTGAAACTTCATTAAAATGTATTAGATAATTTAGTCTTCAACATTATTTGCTCTTAATGCGTTTTTTCTTAGTATCTCTTACTTTCAATATAGGCTTCTTTTACATCATATATAATATTAATCCATCTAGCACAGAGCTGTCCAAAGCACGACCCACCGGCCACATGCGGAATGCGACAAGTTTCTTATCTACCATAGTTAGCCAAATTTTTCTTTGTTATGTATTAATATAACACCACATAATTTACTTTTTATGGTTAATAAAACAAAATTTATCATTAACGTCATATTTTTATTTTTCTCCGGAAAAATTATGAACGCATGTATTTATTTCTGCGACGCTACAAACTATTCAGTGATTTGTATTGGCCCGCGATCTTATCCGATCTGGAGAGTCCTGATCTATAAACTATACAACATGAAATTACCAGCAATTTCTCGTGCATATTGGGTTATCAATAAATATACATAGTTACTTAGAGAAATACTCTTATTGGATGTATTACGAATATACTATGAGTGACAATGAGTCCACTATGAGTGTGCTATGAGTGTACTGTGAGTATACTGCGAATGTACTATGAGTGACAATGATTGTACTGTGAATGTACTCTAATTGACTATGAGTTTGCCAAAAATTTATCTGCTTTTATAAGCTAGGATTCAGTTTTTCTAAATTGAAAAATAAAGTAACAAAAATGACAAGAAAATTTGTCTAACCAGATCATGTCACCAAAAACTTTTTGAACAGAACTGCAGCTAATACATAAATATCGAGTCAATTTCGAATAATATATACAAGAACTGTTCAAAGAAGATAAAGATGTTCATAATTCTAATTCACCGCCAAAGGCTTTAGAAATCCAGAATGAATAGAGAAGTTTTTCTGAAAAAAACTTTTGACCTTCTTGTTGTAAAATAACATAAAGGGTCCTTCGATTCTTCAATCACCGATGCGTCTTAACAGCGACTTTCCCAAAATCAGTGAAGTTTACTTGAAGTTTATACTTGACATATATTGTAAATGTTTGTACACATTTTCAAGTTTTTATCAAAATTATTTTATTAAATTTTATTAAACTAAATTTAATGAAATTTTGGACTTTGCACCCGTATAACATTTAACAAAAATGAACACCAATTGCACCACCAAAAGTAGTGACAGCATTAATTATAGATAAGAGTATATAAACCTTGTACGAAGATATGACAAAAAGAATGGAGAATATGGAGAATTAAGAATAATGGAGAATTAAAGAATATGACACTTTAATTGCGTTCTTTAGGGATAATTTCACATTCAAGGAATGCACTAACAGCAGCTAGTAGGGGTGCATAAACATTTAAGAATGCACATCTGAGGAACATAATTTGTAAATATAGTAGGATAAATAAAAAAGTTTGAAACATGCCACAGTTTTAAATAGAGGAGTATAATTCATAATCCTTTCATCATAAGAAATTATTTACAAATTGAAGGGCTTCCTTCCTATTAGCGTGTCGGTGCAAGTGATATGTTGTCCTGTCCATCATCGCGCATGTCCTGTCAAGAGTGGTTAAAAATTAAATGCCATGCTAGTGAGCTTTATCGCATGATGACAGTAATGGACTTGTAAGCATTTTAATTTATAAAGATATTTTGTGTGAGAAAAGGATCTTAATATACACACTCATTCCAGGATCAGTTAATACAATTTGCAACTGTCTGAACCTTGTCACAAAATTAGCAACTTTTTTTTTTTTTAATTTAGTTGTGTTAGTTGTGTTTCGTCTTTTTTTATTATTTGAAAAAAATTTCTGGAAATGATAGACTTTCAAATAACGACCCAAAGTGGTCTTTACACTAACGGATAACATCCACAGAGCGAACGTTTCGCTCCCAAAACACAAGACCGCGAAGTGACACAATAATCAGTAAATAAACAGGTCGATCGCGATAATAAGGTTCACTTGAAGAAATCAAACTACAAAGTCTTAGATTACTAGATTGAAATGCACAGACAATATTTAGTATGATACGGTTTGTCATAATCTACCCCATATCTTGTGTAAATAAAGCCATAAGATTCTAATGCTTTCACAAAAATCACATTAACAAAGTTGGCCTGAATTATAATTCCAAGTTTCGTAGTAAAATAATTTTATACATTTATCATTCAAATATATTTTTGTCTGAAGTCAAGTTCAATTTTGCTATCGTAAAAATTTTTGAAGTTTGACATTTTTAAAAATTTTCGATAATTTTTGAAGGAATTTTTTTTTGGAGCTAAAGTCAAATTGAGCACTATGCGTACTAAAAAGGGCAGTTGTTTATGTCTGATTTCATCGGAAATGCTACTTAAAGGTTTCCAGAAGCAAGTACGAAAAGAACTACTTCGAAATTTAAATGCCGCGCTAGGAGTAGGTAAGTCGAAGACGAAAACACAGAAGAAGCGGGACATCATGACAAAGTTCAACGCATCATTTAAAAAAGAATACAAAACAGCGGTACGTAAACTAAAGGAACTCGAAGAAGAGTATATACAGAAAAAGAAAGCAGTTGCCATTAATTTTGCGCGAACGATTGCGCGTATCAAGTCAAAAAATAAAGAGGCCTTGGAACTCAACAACAAAGGATTATATCCAAAAAGGAGGGCCAGAAATGGAAAGCGGGAAGCATTTATAGAAAGTGTTCATGACAAAATTGACGATATTCCATCAACCAGTAACGACAAAAATGAATATACGTATGAGTCTGACAACGCAGAAAGGACTGTTCGAAGCGAGGAGTGCGGTGATGATATGGAAACACAGAACTTGTGTACATTTCATAAGAAACATGGTATATCGAAAGTGCATCCTGCTCGCCGAAGAGCAGGAAACAACAAGAAAAAGCGTCAAAAAAAAACTCCTAAAAAGTCGCCTAAACTTCGTGCAGTTCAAAATGCTACGTGGGAGAATAAAGAAGTTTCTGTCAAATGCGAATTTCCCGACACTGAATCAGATTCGTACGATCTGACCAATACTTCGCCTGATTCACCTATTAATATTGGTAACATATCGTCAGGTCGTTTTGGTATGTATGCCATGAACTACAGAAAGAATAAAAAAGCAAAAAAACCAACGACAAAAAAAAAATCTGATTCAACATAAAAATCAAAGCCAACCTATCCAGCATAATATAAATATATGTTGTGCTGGACAAAAAAAAAAAAATAGTAAAATCAAGAAATCAAAAAAAGGGCTTAAAACCAAAACACAGGTGAGTGGAATAGAGTACTCTTAGAATATCTTTGTACAAAATTGATTTCATTTTATTTTCTCCTTCAGGCTTACGGTTATTTTGTTTACCATAAGTATAGTTGTAATTACTATAAAATCAATCCAAAAGCCAATCGACACATAAAACAAATGATACCACGAAGAAGGATTTGAATTGCGGAAATTCAATAGGTGAGCTTAACACAACATCACTATAATATCCTAGCCCCACACTAATTTTATTTTATTTCCCGATTTTATCGTAGCTTGAACTCAAACACTAACGAACTCTGAAAATTTAAAAATTAATATTTAAAAAATATATAACGCCACAATTAAAAAAAACTTAGTATGAGTAGGTTCCACAAAGAAACAAAAAAATTAGATGAGATGAAATTAGTTCCAAAAATTCAAAATTATAACGTATACACCAGGTGAGCTAAATATGACACTCGAGAAACATCTTTCCTCCAAATTGTTCTCATTTCATTTCCCTTTCATCGTAGATTTAGCCAACTACTACAACTACAAACATAGAACAAAAAAGAAGATGAAATAGGTTATGATAGTTAAAAAGATGGAGATTATAAAGAATTTGAATAATCGTATATATATGTGAGGAGTAGTAAAATAACTATGATATATAATAAAAATTGAAAACTTAGAAGATTAAGTCAGTTACGAAAGTTAAAAATTTTAAATGTTTAACAGGTAAGCTAAATATGACATCACACAACATCACAACTCTAAATTGAACTCATTTTTCTTCCTCCTTAATCGCTAAACGGTAATCTGTCCAAATAGAAAAATTTGATTTTATAAAAATTAACATAAAAAAGGGATGAAGATTGTGTAAGTTAGGAATTAGAAAAACTAATAAGACGATGGGTATCGACAATAAATAAGAAAGTAAAAAAGATTAAGTAAGTAACGAGAATTAAAATATACCTATATATGTCTACCAGGTGAGATAAATTAAATAATCTTCAAAATTAATCGTATGTCTTCTTTTTCGCAGTTTAAACTCCACTTCAATGCCTTGTATGATACTTAAGGACCTATTATACTCTAAAAATGATTCTTAGTTTCTTCTTAGTTGGTTCTTCTTAGTTTATTGAAAAAGAAAGTTATTAAATATAACATTAAAATATGATACTTAGCTATGATGCTTTAAATAAATTTGCCAATATGAAAATATAACTTTCGACTAAATTGAAAGTCTCCGGAGTGAGGAAAATATATTCGACATACTGGGGCATGACGATCGGAACAGATGGTAAAACACAAACATCTAACAGGTGATCTAATTAAGTTAGTTTTCTCTCTGATCTTTTCATTTCAGGTCTTCTTTCTGTCAACTTTGACAGTTTTTATGATGTCGAAAGATTATAAAGTTCCACTGTAAAATCTATGATTTGCCTATAAACGTATATTACTAAGCGCTAGAAAAAAATTACGTTTAAAAAAATGTACTCCTTTTCAGAGTAAGACATATACAAAGTTACTCTACAAAAGAAATTCTTAATGGTTTATAGAATTTAGGAATTTATAAATTGTCTTTTGACCTTTGTAGATATATTTCCGTGATGTTTTATTAAAGAGGGATTAAGACAATTATGCTAAAGTTTCATAATTACTGTCCGATCAAATTAATGTCAGCCAAACCTGGAAAAACGATGTTATTGTATGAACTTGCATCTAACAACTTATATATTTCCTACATTAGAAAGGCATAAACTGAGGTAGGAGTGTGTTGCATTAAATCCATTAAGAGTCTTACTGTGAATACTTCAGACATTCCTGGGGTGAGTAACTTGCTGCAATAGAACTGGAGCATAATTTCGGTGACTTTACACATAAGAACTTTATCATCTCCTGCAAGGTGGAAAGTCATATTTGTCGAATGATGGCAGAGATGTTCCAGATTATGAAATTCGTGATAGATGATGTTCTTACTAAGAAACCTTGTATTCTTTACAATCCAAACAGCAAAATGTGCTCCAACTCACAGGAAAAACCCACCTTGTTGACAATGGATTTTGGAACCGGATCTTCAATGTCACTATCTTCTCTACATACTTTAGTACAAGAAGCAAGTGCTAGAAACGTGTTCAATTCCTGATAATAAAATTCCGGAAGAAAATATAAACCAAAATTAACCCAAAATTTTTTAAATTTAAAATGTTTAAATTTAAGTAAAAATCAAAAAATCGTAAAAGACATTAAAAATTACAAAAGTGTGAGTTATGAATGCGAATAATAACATTAAATTGTTATGTTTTGCAATAATCAGTTTTAAACTTAAATAAAGGAAAGCATTTCTCATGCGAAATAATGGTGTTTTTTTTAGTAAATTTAAATTATAATTTATTATTACATATTGTAATAAATTTTTATATAAATTCTAAAATTTTACTTGTGGTTCTCTTGCTTTCCCTGAACTGTAAAATACTTAACTAACAATAGATTTGGATTCAAAGGATTCTATTAAAATATATTTCAAAATACATATAGAGATATTTGATTTATTTTAGTGAAAAGTATGACTGACAGGTCTTTTAAAAACGAAAATGAGAAAGCAACTTAGCACCTACTATATGGTGATATACTGGCGTACTACTTCATTTGAGTATTTGCAAAGTATTTCGTTTACTTATTTTGAAACTCTTTCTCCCGTTTTCAGATATTGTTTAATTCTTATTTCTAAGAAAGTCGGAATACAATATTTTTCTATTATTTGTTCTCATAACTTCATAGCGCATGAAGTGCTGAAGATTCTGTAGGTTTCTGAGTTCAAATTAATAATTTTTAGAAATCTAACTCCAAACATTTTCCGAAAGAGTTATTGAAATAAGGAATGGTTATAAAATTAGTAGAAAAATCGCCGTGATTTCATAGAGGCTCACTAACACTTAACAGTCACCTCAAACCGCATGATTAGAGTTTGCCCAGCACTAATGCATAAACGAAAGGAGTGCTTATTGTTATTATTATTATTATTAAAGTTTTGAAGTGAAATCGCCCAACAGCCGGTACTACGGCCAGAATAGTCTTATTGTACCAATTTCACTATTGATTACACAAAGTGTTTTATAGCTGCGTGAACAAAGTCCAGAACTTAATCTAGAGAAGAGCTCTTAAACTCTTCTGATGACGGAAATTCCACATCAAGCAAGTTTCTGGATAGTCACAAAGAATATGCATAATAGTTTCCTCATCTTCGAGGCATAATCTGCAGTTCTTAGATGGACATCTTATATTAAATGAAGGAAAGTTGGAAAAATACTCTACGTCTCTAGATCGTAGTGCAAACTTTCCAACGTAATAATAATAATAATAATCATAAAAAATTCGAACTTTCATTCCTTGTCTGCTGCTGTCGTTGTTGAAGTGCTGTTTTGAGAAACTGACGAAATATGTTACTTTTAAGTGGAAATGCAGATGTCTATAGAAGTCTGTTTGTTTCTCCACTTTTTTTGCAGGACGTTTATCAGATCAATTTTCAATGGAATCCCGTTGATGAAGTTGAAATACAATGAAATACAAATAGCAATATAACAGTCACAGTATGTTTCTTACAAATCAATAAAATATATTTTGTAACTACTTTCGATTTGGTAGGAAGTCTGAAACTCACCATTCAACTCACCATGTATTTAGCAAATATCTTCTTATTGATGATGAAACTAACGTCTATTGAATAATTTATATGCGGGTATGTTTAATCCCTCTCTAAAATCTTCGAAGTATCTAGCAAACAACAGAAAAGCCCTACTACTTAAATGGAATGGTGAAAAGTTTTTCTGTTAAAACTGTATACGAAATTTTATTATTTGCTATAAATGTTAAGGTCCTTGCAAATAATATGACAATTGCTTAGTTTTATCTTATCAGCATAAATATTCATTGGTGTCATAGCAACGAAAGGCTCATAAGTTCTATTATAACCCCAAAGACAAGAATCTTAACCAAAATCCACAAATACAAAAATAATCATAATATTGGCAGTTGAAGTTGAGGCGCTGAAGTTGTGGCATAAACATAGCCACATAGCCAAGTACAACATAGCCAGGATACATAATAAAAAGCTATCGATACACTCAAAAGCATTATCGAAGCGATTTGTTTACATTTTTATTATTTCCTGTTACCAAAATTGTCACACGATATTGGCAAATATTATTCCATCCAGCGCATGTGTATATATGCTTGTCGTGAAGCATTGGAAATATAGCAGATACAAATTGTATCTCTAGGATACATCAGTAAACATTGTCATCAACGGCATAATCGCAAAATTATACTGAATGTAGGCATATGTTGGGTAATTTTTTTTTTCATTTCAGTTTATTTTATTTTATTTTGTTTTCTATTTTTTGACTAATAAAACCGCCACGCGTTTCTATTTAACAGACGAAAATTATACTATGGATTAAACCGCAAAATGTTCCATAATCATAATTTTTACTCTCCTTCACGAGTACAAAAAAAGAATATTTGCAAATTTTCATATAAAAATTTTCTTAACGATTTGTAGTGACTTGGTTTATCGTATGGCACGTGCCGATTTTTATGTTGCGATTAAAAGGACCACTTCTGTCATTGTGTATCCAACTTCACCGGTCCCTTAATTCGCATATTCACTTGTTTAATGCACAGGGGCGTACATAAATTTCTCTCTGCTTTATTTGTGTAATCGATACTGTGTCATAATATTGTGCCACATGATTAATTGCGGACGAGTGGAATTATTTTGACAGTGTGCGACGTAATCTGCTCGCTATTTAGTCCTAAGCCCACTTCTGATATCTCTAATTAGGTTTTGTTTGGGGTGCACGTAACCGTATTTCCCGCATTTAAGTAAGGACAAGAAAAATTTAAGTAGCAATTTAATTTGTTAGTGTAAAAGCGATATCAGTGAGATGATATCATTATAGAGTACAACGTTGTTTTTTGGTAGTGCTATACCGGGACCGGCGTTAATCAATGTAATCAGCTTATATTTGCATACTGTAAATGGAACTTACCACATAAACATTGTATAAATAACAACTTTAGTTAGGGTTATTGCACTCGATCGTAGTTGTTAGTTCTTACAAAGTATTTCTAACGAAAGGCTCATAAGTTCTATTATAACCCCAAAGACAATTGATCATTACATATTTGGAATACTCATCTATAAGCAAGGCGTTACATCATCTTAGCGGTGTGGTTATAAAGCTTTTAAGAAATCAGGTAAATTCACTTTTCAGAAGCTGCAAAAAATTTAAACACAATTTCCACAAAGATATTAAAAATTCCCAAGTATATAAAAAACTTTAATATTCAAAGAAATCTTTCTATTGAAACCATCATTAAGAACATAACATAAAGGTCATCCTCACAATTCTTTAGCTCCACTTAGAAAACTTCAAGCAACAAAGGGAAGATTTGCCGATATCTCTACAGTCATACTTTAAAAAAAACAAATGGGGTCTCACAATAAAAGTGATGTACATTAACAAATTTTCTAAAGTCGCTTAACTGAGTTGCACCTAGGGATAAACGCAAAAAAAAATTTTTTAAGTAAAATTAATAGTATATTTAAGAGGACAGATAAATAATGCGCATATACATAAATAAATAGATTCATAAGAACAGCTATTAACTCTATTTAATCACAATCCTCTGAAGAAGTTTATATCTCCTATAAGTTGTAATACCTGGTTATGCCGGAATTTATGACAATAAATCTGAGCATGCTTAACATCTGAAAGTTTTTTTTGAAAAAGTTATTTTTTTATATTGAAAATTTAGGTAATAATTAAAAGAAATCACAACTTGCTTAGCTTTTCAATTAACACCGGGGCTATTCAACAGGTTCGCCATTGCAACTATACTGAAAGCTTACTTCTTAGTATAATAGAACTGAGGCTGTTGGAAAGTGATCAAATAAAGCGTTGAGAATGCGTATCGTCTCGGCAAAGAAGCCATTTAGATCACTGGTCACATTATTCTTGATTGTTCGGTTTTGATCTGGACCAAAAGTAGAGTTTTATGGGGGTAGCCCTTGTCTATTAATTAATTTGATCGAATTTTGCAATATATATCCAAGGATCATTCGCAATTGACTGATTTTTGAATTTAGCTGCACTAAAACTTAAGACGTATAAAGTTTTGCGAGTAAAACCTAAGTCTGAAGATTTTAAGGGCATTGTTGTTGCTTTACATGTTTTCTTTCGTAAGTTACAAGTATTTTTTTGCTACTCTGAAAGAAAAAATTACGATTTATATTAAATGTTAGTTCACGAATTAGTGAATCGGAAGGTTATTTCTTATAGCACTAAAAAGAAAAATTAAAATTATTAAATAATTTTGATATCAAAAAATCTATCAAATCGTAATTCTAAATTTACATTAAGAGCTCTTTTATTAAAAATTACACAATTTTAAACCAAAAAATAAAAAAATAAATAAGAACTCAAAACTTTAAAACTTTAAAACGAAAGAAGTTGTCGTATATATATAAATAACAAAGTAATAAAGCATTTTTTATCCTGACCATGGATATAAATTGCATTATTTCATGGCAAATATAGATAACTATATTAAAAGATATTCTGAATATACTGCAAAACGGAGCATGGATATGTTATTTATTTATGCAGTGGTGGACCTCACTTTGTTTTATAAAACATAGTCTTACAACAAAACATAGGATACAGTGCAACAAGTTTTTATGAAGGCCTTCCTAAACTGTGAGAAGATCTGGGCGATAGCGTCCCCAATAAATATAAATGATAAATAAATACTTGTTGCAAGGTCACCTTAGAGCTAAATTGAAATACCCTCAACATATGTAGCATATAGATGGAATTTGAGAGCTTTTGGACTGTTTCAAAACAGATATCACCAGCTACAACTGACAGGCATACGAAATAGGTTTGCTATTATAGAATATATATAAATATAGAATATATATTTCAACATAGAACTATATTTATATAAAGTGACGAAATAAATCAAAACAAATTGAAAAAAGATGATCTTCAGAACTGAAACTAGAACCAAAATAGGTCAGTACAAAAGTTGTAAAATTATTTTCCAATGTCATTATTAAAAAAAACTTATTTCTAAAAAAAAAATTGTATAAATTAAATTAATTAATATTTTATTATTACTCTTATTAGTTTTATTAGTTTTAAATGTTTACTTTATAAACTCGTTCATATTGACAATCATTGCTGCCGATTCTGCTAGCGTTGCACTTGCTCGGTGTAAGGGAACTCTTTCTTCTGTGCAATTCGAGTCTTCTGCGCTGAGCCCGTTGAGACTCAGTGTTGTGGAATTTTT